TATCATGTTTTTATAAATATGTTTAGATTATTGTAATTCGATAGTATTAAAAAGTCAAACTGAAAAAGATTGCATAGAGTCTAAGTATAAAGTAATTTAGTATTTGTATTCGTTTTTAATCTATACTTTAGGATTATTTTCAATAAAATGTAATTCTATTCAATTTTATATGATATGTCGATAAACTTTAAAATTCCAGTAATTTTGTGTGGGATAGAAGTCAATGCTGATGTTTGCAGACAAAGAGCACAAAAATGTACAGAACGATCTTGCTCGTTTTTCTCGATAATACCACATAAAATGACGTGTCCTGCTAGTAATACTTGTTCTCCTTCTATAAAATTTCTCGATGAACTGCTACAAGTAGCATATTTCATTATATCAGATAGTAATATATAATTCATTTTACATTGACTACTAACAAACGACCCAGATAAAGTAGCCATTTTGTAAAAATACAGCGCCCTCTATAGTTCATGAAAAACGCGAATACTCTTTGAACTGTGTTGTTGCTCAAAGGAATTTTTTTGATTACCGGTATATCATATGCAGGTTTTTGTAGAACAGTTCTTAACACCTCTTCAATGGCTGGCAAAATTATTTGTTCTCGGATAGTATGCGGTTTTCCAAATTTTGCTATAAGTAGCGAGATATTGTAAGATGCCCACAAAGCATCGTTTGTTTGTCGAAGCGAACATACGTGGGTCTCTTGTTTATTTAAGTATTTGAAAGTATTTCAAATCTAATAATTTTATTAATTATGTTAAATATTGTCACCAAATATTTAAGCCCCAGTCCCCAATTGATTTGGATAAACGACGCTCTACTGTATATATATATATATATCTCCAAAAGCCAGAACTAGATTATATGCAAATTTCCAAATTCAGGATATTCAGTAGCAGTGGATGTGGATGAGTGATAATTGTGCAATAAATTTTGAACTTTCCAAAGCAATTATAGAAATTTCACTGAGATAACACATCTTTCTGATATATTCTGCTGATAGCTGAAATCGATTTCTATCTAATACAACAAAAGAATTTTAAAAATAATTATTTTAATAAAATACAACCATTACCCATAAGCAGGATTGGTGAAGATTTGATGAAAAGAGAATGAGATTTAGACTAAATTTGAAGAAAAATGTAGACAAAAGTGTTTAAGATGATGAACATAACAAAACCAGTAATGATAAATTGAGAAGAAATTCTCCATTTATCATTACTGGTGAAGTCTTGACTGCAGAAAAGAAGTAATGATTAGATTGATCAAAGCAAACTTGAATTTAAAAGAATAGATAAAATTTGGAAGAATAGTGCAGTAAGCAAGAAAACAATATTAAATTTATTGTCTTCTCTTGTGCATTATATGGATGAGTGTTATGGATTTTGATGAAATACATTAGGAAAAGAGTTTTTTCATTTGAGAGGATTTTAATAAAAAGTACATAGCTTAGGATGGATGGAAAGGATTAAAAATGAGGTATATAGAAAAATTTTTTTAATTCTTCAGAAAATAATTGAAAGTTACAGCTTTTTGACTACATATGCAAGATGAATGATAAATGCATAATCCAGGGCTTGTCTTCTTCATGGGCCCAGGGAAGGCACCAATAAAAGAGGAAGACCACTTCAAGAGTGGATTGATGAAATCAAACAATCAAATTAAGCTAGGGTACAGGAATTGAGCTGTTTGGCTCTAAAGAAAGAGAAACAAAAGATGGATGAGAATGCATTAAACACTTATTTGGCATTAATCAGTCTATATATTCATATAATCGTGGACTGATTGTTTACATCAATTTGGAACTGCAGTGCTATTTGATTATAGATAGTTTCCAACTTATAAAGGGAGCCCTGGAACAAAACTTTGTTGTAAGTTAAATTGGTTGCAAGTTGAACATAAAAAATGATGGCAATGGAATATTGGTTTATAGAATATATATATAAGCCTACATAACATCATATCTAACAAAGGAACATATACAACTTTTAACTTGCAGAGCTTGGTGAATGTGCTCTTGACATATTGCTCTCAGTAGTACAAATATTGATAGAACTGGTAGAAGTTTAAGGGGAAGAAGGGTTGAGGCAGTCAAAGTAGTGGTTTTAGAAGTGATGGAAACACAATTTCATACCAGGCACATTGGGTGAATGAGTGCATATTACTCCATTACCTTGCTGAGTACATTTTTGACAAAATATGGTACCAAATTCTTAACAATATTCCATTGGAGAGAGAAATTTTGGCAGCCCTGTCTGTGATCCATTGTTTTGTACCTGGAGCAATGATGAAATTCTTTAAACAAAGGGACTGATAACTGGTAATGGGCAAGTGATTGAAGCCTAATTAAAGTAAGTTGTTGGAAGAGTGAACAATGGCTGTCATTATTTCTGGAGTTGCTGAAGTTATAGCTGCTCATCATATCTATTACTATCATCATTGCTTTCATCAGGTGCCACAGATTCATCCAATTATAAAGTTTCCAAATTGTCTTGGATTTGTTAAGCAGATCTAATCAAAACTATAAGTCGACATGAATCAAAACCTCAAATTAAACCAATGATCGATATTGACTTGCTTGTTATTTGCTGCAAAAGTGCAATTTCTTGCTCATGTTGCATTTTCTAGTTGTCATTATCAGCCTATAATTCCTCTTTAACCATTGATGCCAATAAATATTAGTGTTGTAACGAATAGTATATTCGGCCAAACTATTCGGCTTGATTAACACATGTACGAAAATTGGCGCGCAAACCGCATTATGGCAAGGATCCTGCTCTCTATTGGCCCGCTGTCACTACGCTTCGCCAATCGCGTTAATTCTTGGCAGTTGTAGCGGACAGACAACAGTGTCATGGAAGTATGTGATAAATGATATCAAATGTGGATAACAATGAAATGACCTACACGTGTAAATAACGGAAAAAGAACAGAGAAGTGTGAGATCAGCCAGGACATAAAGTAGGTTACTCCACTTACAGGCACTAGTCAGTAAGACCAGTTCTCTTACTTTTTATAGGAGGGCTGTTATAAACGATCCTAATCGCGAGATTTGGATCTACGTCAGGATTCCTGTGACACCAGTTAATAAATCTTATTATACGCGGATTAACACACGTATGAGATCTTATTACGATTCAAACTAAGAGACATTTCGTTTGATAAACAAACAACAATAAATTTAATAAGACCAAAGAAAATAAAAACTAATACAAATACTAATGAACGAGGGATAAAAGTACGACAATTAAGATACACTATATAGGCATGGACTTATACTATACCCGATTCACGATCGAGAGAGAGAGCTCACAAAATCGTTACAAATATACAACCTGTTTTAGTTGTCGTTCGTCTTCTTCTCTGTAGGCAAGGGACACTTTGGAGATAAAGTTCATTTACTTTTTTCCATGGGAGATCAATATGTGCACCAAATCCAAGTATATTTTCTAAGTGCTAACTCTGGAATTATTCTGTATGTGACTCGTCTAAGGACGTTGGTCATCAGGAGGAAAATGTATGGAGTTCGGACACTCTCTATGTCTGTCGATGAACTCCCCGAATTCTGACAAATTTCCTTTATATGTCACGATCGGCGACCAATCATCATGCAAGATTCCTCCGTGAGAACGGATGGAAAGGGGGATATGTGAGGGGTAAACATTTCCCATCAAAACGAGAGTTTTCGCAGATAAGGGAAAAACAGAGGATGTTCTAACTTCTGTGAAAGGAAGTAACATCTGTTATCTGCCTTTTCCCACGTTAAAACGTCATTTTTCTCATTAAAAATGAAGTAATATTTGGTGACAATATTTAACATAATTAATAAATTATTAATTTAGACCCAGGGGCCTTTCAGGTCTCACAGAAGGACCGCAAACTGAAAATGTGAAAATAAATATGAAATTGAGTCGATAACATAATCGAACGAGTCGAGGCAGCTTATTGGCACGAAATTCACGGCCGTCAATGCCAAACAATTGTTGTCATAGACTTTGGAAAGCTAAATGCTTGTAATGAAAGTCACTTAGTGTGCACGGGCGAAAGCCTGGAGCCGTTCGGGCTATCAAGCTGTCTCGAATCTGTGAAATCATAACTGTGACTTATACCGACGTCCTATCTGTCTCTTTTCTCCGTTATCACCAGGCTGAGTCACGTAATTGTAATATGGGAACTCTACGACGGAAAAGTGACGAATCGAAAGTACCATGAGCGCGTATTATGATGTATGCACGGGCATACGTGGATTAGAGCGATAGAGGAAAGAGAAAGGGAAGGCAAGACAAGCGCTTAAAAAGAAGGATAGGCAGGGTCAGACCCTCAGATGTGCGAGGATTCTCCAACGATAGACGTGTACGTGTGCTGATCTTTGTAATTATAAATTGTGAATACATGTGACTAATATTATTTTCTTTTTTATTTTGTGCATGTTACAAGTTATAAATAAATATAAACAAACAACACTA